GTATTTTCCGAAACTTTTTCCCAACGGGAGGACGTGCTCTGAGGTGGATACTTACCATGTGAGAGGTGTGCAGGCTGGAGAGTCTTTTTCGTTACTAGTGCCATTTTGGATCTCACCCGCTATTCATAACGTGCGGCATGTGCGTCGATGCCGAGATCCCGCAGCGAAATGCATGACCGGTAAATTACCTATCGCAGCCAGGTGCAGAGAACAACTAAACGTGAAGAAGCGCAGACAAGCAGCGTGTTTCGCCATAGTTGTGCGTGCGCCTGGTCGTGCGGCACGTTCCGTCTGTGTGTGTGGACGATTCTGGGAACATTTTCGAGAGCTCAATGTTTCCAGGTGCTGTCGATTATGTCCGTCACCGCTCTGTACATCGGTTTACCGCTCGTTGCTTATCGACGAAGGGACATCATATTTGCAACAGGTTTGCTATAACAACTTTAAATGAAGCTGCTTACTCAGTATTGGCTTTAATTATTAGTTTAAAGTTGTCTCATTGGGATTGGCGCACATCAAAACTCCAAGCTTTGAGTATGGAAGAAATCGGTGGAACATTCTAGAAGCTTACGCGGGAGAAAAGGAAATTCTAATAGCAATCGGCTTTTGGTGACAATTGGGCAATCCCCCTCCCCTAGACATCTGTTCTCTAACAATGAGTGGAATCTCGTAGGGTAAACTGCCCCGTGGTTTCTGCGAGAAGGGCATTTAAAAGTCTGCGCTGATCGCAGGGGTAGAGTCGGTCAAGCAGTATATTTCCCCGGTTAGCGCACTCTTACTTGCAGTACAATACGGTGAGCAGGTGAGACTCACCAATGGAGAAAGCAAAATGGTTGACCGTCGCCGCCCACACCATAATCTTGGACTATTTCATAGAGGCCCTAGTGCTGAAATGTTTCGAAGAAGTTAAATGTAGAGAAAATTCCTGGAAAATATGCTATTTCTAACAAAATCATAGTTTCAGTGGCAAAATCATAGTTTCAGTGCAGCTGGTGCTTTGTTTCATCATCGTTCTAATCTCCTACTGCCAGCGAGCGTTTGAAGCTAATGAGAAGAATTCCAGCAATATGTCCCTTGTTCCCAGTAGTACGGGACGACGATCTCAGCAGGTTTCTATTTCAATTTTCTTTGGAATTGCCCCCTCATTGTCATCCTCGGCGCAGTTTGTCGACGGGGGGGGGGGGGCATTTTGCTTTCCATAGATGTGTCGACCCATCTAGGCAGCCGTTTCTCGAGTTGACACGTTTTAGGATAGTTTGTAAACCGGAACTAGGGAAGCAATGATAATACAAAATGCCCCCCCCCGTCGACAAACAGCGCCGTCATCCTGTGGTGATCCTTCTCGAATAATTCTTACTAGCCGGTTTATGTAACGAAAAGCATGGTTCAGTGAGACTCTTCCAAGGCGAGAACGTTCATGTAGCGAATAGCCTTACTGTATCTTTCTCCTTACGCTACACTTCTGTTTCTACTATGAATTATTCTGATGGTTAAGTTTGGGGTTTTAGTTACAGAATTACTGGGTGGATGGCTCGATTTATCGACCGAATGCACAGAAGATTCATGGTGACTATCACGTAGCTGGTACAATGGCACAGCGAGCTGACAACGAAGCCGTTCATCAGGGTAAGTGTAATTCCTTACGACTGTGAACGCTAAAGAAGAACCTAAGCGCTGGTCGGCTTGAAAGGGGCATTTCTGCACTCCCTTCAGCTCCTTTTGCTAGTTTATACCCATTGACAGGTTACACCATCGATGGCGTCCGTAAGCTCCTGTGAAACGGTGCAATGGTGGAAATGAGGCTTTTCAGTTACAGAATTTTACAGGTCTTTACAAGGTGACTGAAACTAGCACCGCTAAGTACCCTCTAGTGCCCCATTAATTCGAGCTGCGTCAGCAAACTGTACACTCACCTCCGGATCCTGATTCTTGTCGGTTAGGTATGGCAGCGTTCAGACTTCGCGAGGCGCTTCGGTCGCGCCTTCGACGCGATCGATGTAGCCGAAAACATGCGCATCGATCGTGGAATCGCGCGACCAAAGCGCTGCTGTCGCGAAGTCTGAACGCTGCCTATGGGGTCCGCAGCTGCAGTAACCTGCCTTTTTCACCGATCAAAAGTGCACGGGAAACGGGCTATAGGGCAATGGTACGCGGTTGCCGCGTAGTGCCCATATAGTAGTCTCCAACTCCATCTACCCTCTTGCACGGACGGATCACATGCCATAATCGTAGCCGAACGCGTTATTTGTCTCCCTCTTCCGCTTCTAGTAGTAGTGTATCGCTGAGTGCGTGTTTCGATTTTGGTCGTCGCAAGTGCTGCACGCGCATTCGCGGATAGCACGAGTGTAATATAAAGACGGCGCCCGGGTTTTCAAGTGGAGAAAATGGCACAGTGATGCAGCTGTGGGCCAAGTTGCCCTGCTTATGGCAAGATCCGTCCTCCGATATGAGAGTACAGTTTGCTGCAGTTACTGTTTGTCTTTGATCTTACACTTCATTGAAATCCCTTCTGGAAGAGCAGTGCCGCATTGTTCCCGCTCTTGCTCAAGGATTCCAAAAAGAAACTTCATTGAATACATTTTCCGCGATCATCGCGTGAGTGGATAAGTTGGCAGGATTTGCTATGGTGCCTTGAGCGCCCTCATGGTACGGTGAAAATCCCAGGAGCGCCAATAGTTATGGGTCCCCGCCCATCCTATCATCGCGAAATGTGCCTCTGAATCTCACACATAGTGTTCGTATTTTCCATTCAGGTGTGACTAAACAACAAAAACCTCCGAATTCCACATCTCGTCCGGCACATTCTAAGAGTGACAGCTATGGTAGGTTGCTTTTATTACTAGACTTGTTTCTTAAGCACTGGAATGGGGAGGCGGTCAAGACAATCGTAGCTTACCGCTCCCTAGCATGCAACGACGGGCACGGCAATTGTGTATTTCACGTCAATCTGTCGATTAGAGCACCGGGATCTCACTAAACTACGACATAGGAGACATTTTTTGCTACTTCTGGTTGAACTTTGCCTACTGTCCCCACTCACGACCTAGAATTACTGTAATTTGCGGGCGCGAAGTCGCACGCGAAGCACACAGTGTGGCGAATTACGATTGTCTTGTCACATATCCCTGAAACGGTCGTTAAAAGAAATTAGGTCCCACCCCATACACCTTTTCGCTGCGAGTGACATTATCGCGACATTTCGTGGTTGGTGCGCTAGTGAGGAGGGGCATTCTGCACATTCGCTTGTTCCAGTTAGATTTCTCATCACAGCTGGTTGTGAGATCTGTGGACTCTTGTCAAGCGTAAATGAAGCTGCATACCTTAACAGGAATTCACAGGCCTCCAGATAGAGGGAATAATCGATGTGAGCGAGCAAGGTGCCCCCACCAGTCCGAACTGCGTCACACATTCTTTGACTCCAGGAGCGAGAACTCGAAATAGTTGTGCTTTCCTCACTGGCGCGCCCCTCTTTTACGATACCAAAAGGAGAACTGCTTCAATGCGAAAGGCCCACGGTTAAGTGTCTCCGCCCATCCAATTGTTATGGAATGCGTCTTTAAGATTAGTGCACAGAGCATGACAAGAACCCATAACGGTTAGAGTTGGTCACGTTACGAGACATTGCGCATTGCGGCGCGGCAAGAACGCGCTATTTATTTCTACTGCGAAGACAGAATATCAAATACGCCTTGATTTTCAGATGTTGCCCCGGTGCCAAGCGTCAAATATGGGCTGAGCGAATACGGTAAGAAATTACTGTTGTTTTGCTATAGTTGAAAGTCTAAAAGGGGTAGTCTCCACCGTTGATCAATCCTTTTGCGGGATGCGGCACGCATTTTCAGTCAGAATCGCAGTAGTTTATTGAATGTGATAAGGCCTACACAGTGACTTGCAATTTACATTCTCCGAGGGGTTAAAGGCTTAGCTGGCGTGGACGGTAGCCGAGCCGGGATTTGAACCCAGGACCGCGCAAGTGGTAAGCGCGCGGTGTCCACTTGTCGCTGCATCACTCCCGCCTCTTGCTATAGCTATGGGGCAAAATCAACGCCTTGGCCGGAGGTTCCTCCTTTATCGTTTATCCTGAGTCCGCATTGTGATGAAAGTGTCGAATAAGTGCCAGAACCAGAAGGGGTTGGTTGGATTCAACCCTGATTTATCACTGAGGGCCATTCCGCGATAATCTGTGGGCGGGCATGGACATAAGACGATTCTATCATGGGCTACCGCGCTGGGGGGGGGGGGCGTGGCTTACGGCGCTGCAGCCTCTGTGTGCGAGCTATATTGTCTCATGGCTTGTTCAGATTATTGAACGGATCCATTCCTTCAATACCCTGAAGAACACGCTGTTACAACAGTAAATCGCTTGCTTCAACGACGACTCGGGTGAATACATTAGTAAGACAAGGTAGTGCAACCCTGACTATGCCGCAGAACTGCCGCGCGTACCGCTCGTGGACGGTACGATTAGAATCGCCCGTTCCGGCGGCGAGCGTTTCCTACGGTAAACACTTGCAGTGGACGGACATGGGGAAAGTTGGAAGGGAAGAGGGGGGAGGGGGGAGGGTGTACTCAGTGTGTCCATCCCAATATACATATTACGCTAAGCCTGTATGTGTGGTGTGTGCATGGTTATACGTCTAGTCCGTCTGTCTGTTGCCTGTCTGTCTACCTGGCTTCTCTGTTTTGGGTCTATCTTTACGTCTGACAGTCTATTTATCTACGTGGTGCTGTCCACTTGAGTAATGCATGTCTTTCTGTCTTTCTGTCCATCTGTTTCTCTGTCTGTCTGTCTGTCTGTCTTGCTGGCTGGCTGGCTGGCTGGCTGGCTGGCTGGCTGGCTGTCAGCATGTCTATCTGTCAGTCGTCTGTCTGTTTGTCTGTCTATCTGCCTGTCTGTCCGCCTGTTTCTCGTCTGTCTGTCTGTCTGCTGGCTGGCTGGCTGGCTGTCACGGGATTCATAGCGTCGCTCTTGGAAAGGTTGGTTTCGAAAGTGTTTGAGGAGGTTGCACTGGCACATCACTGGTGGTTAACAAGTGACGATAACTAATAAGCTCTGATTAAAGGCCACAGAAAAGGGGGGGGGGTGGCTCACCACATTCATAGCGGATCATACAAAAGCTCTCTCGAAGGCTTATACGCCCATTTGGTTTCAAACATGTGGGAATGCTGGTATAACGAAGATCCATTTCTTCCAGTAGCAGAAGAAGGCAGTGAAAAAGCCCGGCTTTGATTCACTGGAAAGATACCGCAGCTTCTGGTACACCAACCAACTCGTCCAAAACTGATCACAGCATGGAAACGGCACAAGGATATCACCTGTCCTTTGGTAAAAATGACAAGACTTTGAAAGATCCATTTATTGTGCAATTAATTTATTTGTAATTTATTTGCTTGTACATGTATCTCTACAGCAGGAAATAAACAGATTGAATATCGTTTCTCTCTGGTGATAACTGATAGTGACAAAATAGCGCGAAACACTATCTTACCTCATTCCCGCATAAAATGGAGCTCAGCA